TTACAGAAATTTAAGGAACTAAGTCTTAAGATCTGGGAATAAAGTGAATATTTTTTAAAAACAGTTAAGTGTTCTCATTCCATTACCAGAAATGATTACTTCTGAACATATAATAATTTTCCAGATTATCTTCCACAACTGTAACGTACACACTGAAAACTGGGTTTTCATTGTAGAATAAGCACTATGACAACTGAGCTGTCTTTAATAAGTCAATTGGCAGTTCTTTTGTATAATCAGACATGTAAATATTTACAGAGAACATCATAATTGTTCCCATAAACGTTTGACAAAATATTCTTACCCAGAACACACACTGTAGTTTAGAGAATATTCCTGAATCATTTCTTGTGATGTGATGACCTATTAGCACATTTGTTCAACATACATAGGCACTGATCTTCTGATTGGTTCAATCTTGTTTTTTCCAGATTTAGTCAGATTTCAGATTTAACCAATTCCCTAAATTAACTTTATGATCAATTGTTACATCTCTCTTTTTTTATTATTATTATTTTTTTTATTTCAGCATATTATGGGGGTATAGATTTTAAGGTTTCAATAAATGCCCATTTCCCCCCTCCCCCCACAAGTCTGAGTCTCCAGCATGACCATCCCCCAGATGGTGCACATCTCACTCATTATATATGTATATACCCGCCCCCCTCCCACCTGCCCAATACCCTATTACTGTAGTGCCTATGTGTCCACTTAGGTGCTGCTCAGTTAATACCAATTTGCTGGTGAGTATATGTGGTGCTTGTTTTACATCTCTCTTATTCAGAAAAAAGGTGGGGCAGGGGTTAGAATTCCAACAAACGTATGAGTAGGTTAAGCACTCTGGAATTAAATTCTTTATTTGTAAAATAGTGTGGGTGGGGGAAGAAGGAACTCTGTAAAATTCTCTAGTACTACTAGAACTTGAAATAGGTTTTGTTTTCTTGATTCTTCTCTCAACTTTTCATCCTTATTTGTCTCTTTATTACCACTCTAAAATCCTCTCGCTTACCTCTTATTAATTCCCTTTTCCATTCCCTGCAGTGGCCTTTCAAAACTTTCTCTTCCTCTAGGTTCCTAAAATCCCCAATCACAAGACTCTACTTCTAGCTTGCTATTTTTCTCAGAAAATAGAAGCCATTTGAGATATTTTTCTTTTTACTTCCTTTCTTTTCTCCTCTGAATTTCTCTATACTATACGTTGTATTTTTCCTTTTGACCTTTGGCTCCGGGATGAGATATCTCTCCTCTGGCATGGTTATCTCTTTCACCTCTACTCTTGTCATAAACTCTTGCATCTCCTTACATCCCCACCCCTTTGATTCTCTTCCTTGAATCTTTGATCCTTCCTGACCAGTCATCTCTTCTTCTGCCTACTCAGTAGACCCAGTCTTTAAATATAGACAAACAAACCAAAACCTTCTCTTGACTTTGCCTCCTCCTTCAAGTTTCCTCCTCTCATCATCCTTTCAAGCCCAAATGATTAGAAAAATGGTCTACATTTGCTTTCTATATTTCTTCACCAGCCCCCTTTTCTCACAAATTTCTTCTAGGATCACAAACGACCTCCGGCACATCAAACCAACTTTATTCTCTAAAGCTTTCTATAGCATTTAATACTATTAATGGTCTTGTACCTCCTGAAACCCTCCCTTCCTTTGTTTCTTGTTGGTTTTTCTAACTCTGTACTACCCTGCTTCTTCTGCTAATGTCCTGACCATGCCTCCTCTGGTTCTCCTTTCTTTTGCACTGTGACACAAGGTCTTCACCATGGTTTTAGCCTTGGTCCTCATCTTCAGACTCCCTAACTCTATCCTTTGACAATCCAGTTCTCTGGGACTCTACTGATATTTGGATCTCCAGTCCAAAAGTTCTCTCCCAAGCTCCACATGTACATCTCTATCTGACAGATAACTTCACCCATAATACCAGGTAGGATTTCCTCAAAGGCATAAACCACATTTTATTCATTTCTGTACTTCAACCCCCTCTCCTATCTCTACCATCTATTCCTCTTTAGGAACTCAACATAAGTTACTTAAGCTGAACTAGATAGTATTTCCCACCATCACCTGAAATTCAATTGACACAAAATTAACAACTATCTGGTCTTCCACAACCCAAAACAATCCAGCCTCCTTTTTCATTTCTCTTAATGATATTACCAACTTCTAATCCCCAAGACTCAAGATCTCAGCTTCAACTCAACTTGTTCTTTTCCTTGTCCCCTACATCCAACAAATTATCATGTGTTTTTGATCCTGCCTTTGTTAAAGGTTTTACATCTATCCACATACATACCTTCCTTCTGTCATATCCTCAAGGCCTTAATTACTTTCCAAGTATTTTATTGTAATAGCTTTCAAATCAGTTTCTCCATCTTTCCTACAAACTACTACTAATCTTAATCTTCACTTAACATATGTCTAATATATTACTCCACATCCAAAAAATTGTTAATATTTATCCCTTGCCTAGCAAATTACAAAGGTCTTGCCTTAGTATCCAAAGTTCTTCATAATATGGCCCCAGAAATGTCTATCTGCTTGAAAGGACTAGAGATCTACTCAAGCTACCTCAAGAAAATAAAATCTTTTAAAGGATACTCATTGATCACTAGCTCATTGATAGTAACCAGAAAGCAAGAAAGCTCTGAACTCAGTAACTCTCTCTTTCTATCAGTGTTGTAGCTTCTCTTTTTGGTTTCCCTTCTCTCCACTGCCCTGCTTCCTCTGGGTATTCAGTTTCCATTCCCTCATAGTTTCAGCTAGCAAACAGTACAGGGTGGCCACTCCCAATACCTTCTAAACCTTGAGAACTCTCAACACTTCCTTGTAAGTTTCTGCTCCACTACCAATTGGTTCAGTCTCTTAATTTTGCAATTATAAGCCTTAAGCCGGTAAAATGGCCCAGTCCTTCTTTTCATGTGGGATTGGAGAAATGTCACAGAACAGTCTATGGATTGTCTGCCCTTGGATCAGATGCCCACTCTATTCCAGTCAGCTATGACCCAATCACATGGGAGATGGACAGGAAGCAGGGCTGTGGGCAGAAAAGATTCTTTTAGAAAGAGGTGGGCTATAGTCGACAACTCTAAGGCATACCTTTTCCTGCCTATTCTCCTACATGTACACCACACTCCTGTCAAGGTAGAATTGCTATCTCACAAACCCATTCCATAGTATTATTCCATGCCTTTGCTCACACTGATCTCTCTGCTTAGAATAATCTCTACCACCATTTTATCATCTCAAAATCTATGTCCAAAGAAAAAGCATAAATATCAAGAATTTTAAAAATAATAGTACACACCAAGTAGTTTTAAGAATACAATATGGCTGTTGGTTTTGTAAATGGCTGATAATATTGTAAAATAGTAGAATCCTTTTAGAAAGCAATTTACCAACATGATTCATTTTGGAAAACCTAAACAGGAAAACAAAATTATTTTTCAATACGATCTAGAGAAAACCACTTTTAACATTTTGGTACATAACCTTCCATACCCTCTTACTATATTTTTTTTCTCCTTTTTCTTTTTTAAACAAAATTTGGATCAAACTAGGTATACTGTTAATTGTTTTATTATCTTTGTTTTTTAATTTTTAAATTTTGTTTTATTTTTTTTTATTCCAGCATACTACGAGGGTACAAATGTTCAGGTTATATATATTGCCTTTGCCCCACCTGAGTCAGAGGTACAAGCATGTTTATTATCTTTTTTTAACTTTCTATATCCTGAACCTTTGCCTATGCTATTAACAATCTTCAAAAACACTATTTTTAATGGTTGCATAGAAGTCTATCACATGAACAGGTAATAATATATTTTTAACAAAAAAATTGTCTAATGCTAGACTTTAGATTTTGTCTACTTTTTCATAATGACTGCTGAACTGTAATGAATTTCCATCCTTGCATGGAAATCATTTGTGCATACCTCTGATTATTCTCTTAAAATTCCCAGTGTACAACCATTTGAAAAGGACTTCTAAATGTCAATTTAACCAAAACTGTGACATAACAGTAGAATATGGAAGGAGAAAAGGAAAAGGGAAGGAATAGATGGTGTGAGAAAGCTAAAGATCCCTCATCCATTGCAAGAAATCATTGGTACATAAAATGAGAAAATGTTGAAGTTAGGATAAGTCTATTATTTAGAAATAGGAGATAAAAGAGCTAATAAGTAGAACAGTGAACAGAAATCAGGTGTGGGAAAATATGCCACAGGATACTGCTGTATTCATTATAAGTCTTGTTCTGCTTGAACTTTTTAACCGTGCATTTATATTGGTTTGATAAAGATCCAAACCAAATCAGAAAGATAAAACCGGCAGTATAATTCAGATATAAAATATAGCAGATACACAAGTTGGCTTAAGAGTCTACAGTTCTTATAATTAGAAGGAAAAATGCCATTATCTATAATAAATATCATTGTCAGTAAAGACCTTAAATTAATAATTTTATGAATTTTTACTGAGAACTCTCTGTAAATAAAGCACATGAATAGATGTTGTTGGAGATTCTAAGAAACACTGTATCTTTTTACTTTACCCAGAGAAGACAATTATTGTCAATAGTAGAAATAGTCTCTCCATACAACTCAGCTATATAATATTTAAAAATTGCCTATGCAGAAAACCTTCAAGTTTTCTCTCAAAAATTCATTTAAAAAAATAGAGAAAAGTTAGGATACCAATTCCTCAAGGCAAAGTTTAAGAGAGCAGTGAATTTTTCTTCAGGAAAAAACTCTTTCATTTTTCTACATGCTGGAGAACATGCTATATGCAGTCCTCATCCAAATAAAAAACTGGAAAAATAACAGGAAAACTATGATAGTGGGAATAAATGAAGACTTAGAGGCCTTACTTCTCAAGCAACTTTCTCATAGATTTTGCCATTTGTGCTTGATAAATGTTTTAGCTCTTCTCAAGTCACTTTAATGTAGCAACAGGAAAAGCAAAGAGAAGGAATTTTATCAAACCTCAGAATATTAGTACCTTCAGAATAAATTATCACAGTGGCACCAGACCCAAATCATTCCTCCTCTTTGTGCAACAAACTTGCAGGGTACCTGTACAGTAAAAAACAAATAAGATGAGTCTCCACCACCAAAAACTGTTTACTCTCTGTCTCTTTCATATTATCTCCAGCTACTACTCAAAACAGAGCTTTTACAGAGCCAGACTCCTGCCTGTGGTTCCTTCCTCACAACCTCTCTCTGCTCTCTTCCCCCTCACCACTCCACATTTCTCCTTTAATATCTTCCTCTCATCTTCCTCTTCTTTCAACAAACATCACTTCTGGGTTTTCCCTCTCTCTCTCTCCTACCACTCCACCCCTCTTGCCCAATCCACATCAAAGAACTAAGGTGAGTTCCTTTGGATATGAAGTCAATGGTTTATTTTATTCTACTCAATAAGGAAATTGAGCAAGAGATAATTACTAGTGAGGAAGATATTAGCAATCATGTTTTCAAAGGAAGAAACTACAATTTGGAAATAAGAAATAAGTATCCAACAAGCTGAGCAATTACATTCCTCTTTAATAGTGTATAAAAACATGTACACATTAACCTTTGTTATGACATCATATGAATGAAGTGACATCATTTATTTCTTATGTGACATCACTGAATTATTTAGAGTAATCTTTTAAGATTATGAACTGGCCATTATCAGCTCGATGGCTTTTTAAAATGCACAATTGCATATGATCATTATATGCCAAGGAGTAAACAATATTATATGTTCATTCCATGGGAGCAGCTATATCCAAATATCATATTATTGAGTAAAGTTCAAGTTTGTGTATTATATGAACCTTTGAACTCTGAAAAATGTGACTTAGAATCCTGACAAATTTGACTTTGGAATGAACATTCCATCTTCCAGTCATAATGGAGATATTACAAGAGCCTGGAAGGAGAGGATGAGATTAGTCTATCTGATGAATAACATCAACTAAGAAATGGGAGAGGAAGCCAGAAATAGTTGGCTAAAAAGTAATACAGCAAGTATTTAGATTGTATAAGCAAACCTCTACAGAAAATCTAAATTTCAAAAAATTATGTTCAAAATTATGTTTAAAGTATAATAAATCCCAAAATACCACCTTAAAACAGTTAAATAAATTAGGATGATGCCTACAGATCTAGTACTAAGACAAAATCCATCACCAATATTTGTTGGTGAATAGACAAATTGCTGATATAGATTTAGTATTATGCATAAATTTAGAGTTAGAAAGTTCTACCTTCTACCAAAATAACTGGGTCAAACTGCTCCCACTCACAGATTTTTCTAATTCCTCTTTTGCAGTATCATGGGCTAACAAATTCATAATTGGTAAAAAAAAAAAAAAAAAAACTTAAGCAGGTCCACTATATGTTAAGTATTGTACTAGGGAATTTAGGGCACTTCTGTGCCTTACAAGATGAGCAAAAAAATAAAAATTCTAAATAAAGACAAGATTAGTAGCCTCAGGTTCCAATATGGCTTGGCAAGATACTATTACTGATCCTATCTGTATTTAAAATTTTGATATTTTGTTCATCATGGATTTTTGCATTAATAGTTTTTAATATTGTATTAAAATGTTATTTGACATTGATTAGTGAGTTTTTTAGCACCCCCTTTAAAGTTTACGCTCTATGTGTGATAGTTAATTTTACATGTCAAGTTGACTGGGCTATGAGATGCCTATGAAATATCTGGTTAAGCATTATTTCTGGGTGTGCCTGAGAGGTTTCTGGAAAAGATTAGCATTTAAATTTGTAGACTGAGGAAAGCAAATTTCCCTCCCTAATGTAGGTGGGCCTGATCCAATCCACTGAGGGCCTGAATAGAACAAAATGCCAAGTGAGGGAGAATTCTCTCTCTCTCTCTCTTCTCTCTCTCTCTCTCTCTCTCTCTTCTCTCTGCTTGTCTTTAAGCTTGGACATCAGTCTTCCACTTTCAGACTTGGACTTGAACTGGAACTTACACCATGACTCTGCTGCCTCTCAGGCCTTCAGATCTTAGTGGAACTATATGCCATTGACTCTCCAGCTTGCTGACTGCAGATCTTGGAACTGCTCAACCTCTGTAGTCACGTAGGCCAATTCCTACAAATAGTAAAGAAAGAAAGAAATCATGTTGGTTCTGTCTCTGGAGAACCGTGTCCGATATACTAGGCAAGTGCCTAACTCTCCTCATCCTAGTCCGGGCCCTGCGCAGAGTTTACAATCTACACCAGGGGTTGGAAAAATTCTTCTGAAAAGGGCTGGACAGTAAATATTTTAGGTTGTGTGGCCCATGTGGTCACTAAAATACCACAGACCCGCTGTCCCCAACCTTTTAGGCGCTAGGAACCAGTTTCCACGAAGACAATTTCTCCACATGACTGAGGGTAAGGGTGGGAACTGGGGGGAGGGATGGCTACGGGATGATTCAAGAGCGTTACATTTACTGTGCAGTCAAACCTCTCTGCTAATAATAATAATGCGTATTTGCAGCCGCTCCACTATAATATTAATCCGCATGTGCAGCGCTGGCATCACTGCTTCAGCTCCACTTCAGATCATGGGGCGTGAGGAGCGCGCAACCTAGATCCCGCGCATGCGCAGTTTACAGCAGGGTTCCGAGTTGCTGTCAATCTAATGCGTAGCTGACTGACGTGAGAGGAGGCGGAGCTTATGTGGTGATGCCAGCGATGGGGAGTGCCCTAAATATAGATGAAGGTCCTCTTGCTCGCGGGGCGCTCACCTCTTGCTGTGCGGCCAGGTTCCTAAGAGGCCACAGGTCAGTGGCCCCAGGGGTTGGGGGCCGCAGCCCTAGACAATACGTAAATAAATCAGTGTGGTTGCATTCCAATAAAACTTTATTTTAAAAAACAGGTTGCTGGGCAGTCTTGGCCCACAGCCTATAGCCTGCCAACTCCTAATCTACACTAAATCCTCATTAAGTTGTCAGTGCTAGAAAGTGAAGTAACGCTCATTAATCAATAGTCTCTGAATAGCTAAAGCTTACTCTTTCGGAAGGTAATTTAACCAGTTTTGATCAAAATTTTTCTTACATAAACTAAGCACATCACAGCCTCCCTTTAAAAATATTTTTAATACAGAAAAGATTTTAAAAGAAAATTTAAAGATATCCACAACCACACCATCCAACAATAGCCATTATAATTTGGGCGGTCTTCAAATCTTTTTATACATAATTTTATGAAAATAAAGGTGCTGGTCAGGGTAGGCCAGATTTTGCTGTGGTAACGTGTTAACCTCCAAATCCCAGTGGCCTAACTCCATGAAGGTTTATTCTCACTCATGCTACCTGTCCATCATGGGTTATCAGAGGGCTCAGTTCATCAAGGACCAGGCTGATGGAAATTCTACCACCTTGTGCTGCATCTGGAACATGTGACCTCTTCAGTCACTTTAAGAGACAAAGCAACAGCCTAAAGGTCTGACAATAGTTCTTCCAATAGTTCTTTGCAGCCCACAAATGACACACTTAACTTTCACCACAGCCCATTGTCCAGACCTAGTTGCATAATTACAGGTCTGGGGAGGTGGCTGGAAAATGTTAAGGTGCTAAAATGAAACGTTTGATAAGCACCATTCTCTTTGTCACATTAAAAAATCACACTATAAATACAATTTTATTCCTCTCTTTGCCCTTAAAATTATATCATAGCCTTTTCCCCCACATCATTAAATCTCTTCGTAAATATAGATATAACCCTCAATGTTTCCCTATTATAAATATTACTATGTGCCAGGCTTTTTCTAAGTATTGTATGTGCATTTTCTCATTTAATTCTTACAACCAGTCTATGAGGAAGATACAATAATATATCCATTTTACCGTGCTGGAAACAGAAACCTAGTGAACTTAAGTAACTTCTCCAGGTCACACAGCTAGTAAATGGCAGATCTGAGACACAGGACTGTCAGACTTAAAGTCCATCCTCTTAACAGGGATGTGTGTGAACTAAAGGGCTTTCATCCAAGTGGGAAACACAACAATTGGTCATTGACCACAAATTGCTGCAGGAGTGAAAAAAGGTGCATCAGACCATGAGGACCTATTTTTACCAATAACTTGCATATGTTAGAAACAATGGCATCTAAACATTGGAACCCAACAGAAGGCTGGTAAAATTTTCCAATTCTTTCTCTCTCTTTCTTCCTCTGTAAGGTATTTGGAAAGATGACTAGCCTCTTTGAATTTATTAAGGTTTTTGGATTCTTGGACCATTTTGGAGGAAGGGGGAACCCTAGAGATTTAATGGACTCCTACTACTCTGGAAATTTAGAGTTAAGCCAAGTTCCACTTGGAAAAAAAAATAAAAGAATAGTAAACAGAAGAATCTTCTTTTAAAACTCTAACTATATCTAATTTATTTTTATTGACTATGTGTTCTCTACTTAAAGCAAGGATTGACATGTACAGGTTTCTGTCATACACAGTCTTTATTTTTTTTCATATATTCATGTCTTCTCATAGTAATTCTACAAATTGTAGGACTCACTGTGTGTCATCATATATCTTAAAATTTTCATTGATGTAAAGGATTTATATCAAAAAGCACTAATAATATAATCATTTAAGTATTACCATCACAAGTGTGCCATAAGATGGGAAACTAAACCACATATCAAACTTAAGTATCTTTGGTTTTCTTTTAGTAATAAGTTCATTCTCAGAGTTATTATGGAGCAGATACACACATGAAAAATTTCTAATAGTCAAATTTTGTTTACTTCAAAGGTGTGTTAGTTTCCTTGGACTGTCATAACAAATTACCATAAACTTGGGTGGCTTAAAAAACAGAAATTTATTATCTCAGAGTTCTCGAGGTTAGAAGTTTAAAAATCAAGGTATCAACAGGGTCATGCTCTCTGTGAAGGTTCATGGGGAGGATTCTTCCTTGCCCCTTCCTAGCTTCTGGTGGTTGCCAGCAATCCTTGGTGTTCCTTGGCCTGTAGGTGCATCACCCCAATCTCTGCTCCTGTTGTCACATAGCATTCTCCTTGTCTGTGTGTCCAAATTTCCCTCCTGTTATGAGGACATCATCCATTGGGCTAAGCCCCACACTAACCCAATATAACCTTGTCTTAAATTGCTTACTTCTACAAAGACCCTAATTCCAAATAAGGTCACATTTATAAGTACATAGGGTTAGGATTTCAACATATATTAATATTTTGCGGGAACACAATTTAACCTATAACAGCAGGAATAAATGTCTTCATGTCTTGCTTCAGGGTGTAGGATGGCAGATAGGGAAAAATCGCTCTTCACCAACTCTAGCAGAATACTCTGCATTGAGTCTTGATAAATTTTTACCAGTAGACTCTGACACTCTATCATAGAGTTAAACCCATTGAGTTTCAGCTCTTGAGTGGGTTTTTGGGAGAAAAACTGGGTACAGATAGACCATACATGACATTGTTTACCTATCAATCAATGAAAGGGGCTCCAAGTTCACACAATCTGCCTTACAAACAAAAATAGTAACCAACCCATTTGACATTTAGGAACTGCCTATAATTCTGCCCATTACTCATTTTTCTTTTTCTAAAGGCAGGGACTCTATTATTTAATGTGTACTATTTATAAATCCTACTAGAACTTAACAATAATCCCTGAACTAAATGGTTAGGAACCAATACTAACAGATGGTGGTGATGATGATGATGATAGTGAGAATTATGATGCTGCTGATAATGACAGCAATAAATCTAAACAGATATTTCTAAGAATGCAATAGCCTTCTGTTTCTATCATAAGAAGTAACTTTTTAAAAGTAGAAATGCATTCATATGTTTATTATTTGTTACATAATAAGTACAGATAGAGATCTAGAGCTTATTTTAAAAATAAAAAAATTAACCAAAGCTCAAAATAAATATATTCAGTAGGGAACAATAGTCTTGTAACAATGTAGCTTTAGCAGAGCACCTTGGAGTGATGAATCATTGTGCTGGATGATCTTAAACAAGTTTACATATAATTAGAGAGGCATGGAAGTTAGGGGGCTGGTATTGTTGTTTTACACAGGAACCAAGCACCAGACATCTAATAAACATTCAGAGGTTTGTACTCATATTATGTAAGAATTACAACAACCCTAACAGAAAAAAAAATCTCTACTCAAACTGTAAAATGATTTTTCACTTCCGTTTCTGAGTCACTTATTGCAAATAGCAAGCCAAAAATAAAAGCACACAATCAGGAAAGGAATGAAGCTAATTTTGTAATATCTTATATATATATTTATATATGTATATTATATCTTAATTCCAGAGTAGCAGAAGTCCATTCTCTCTCACTCTTTATATCTCTCTAGAGAAAAAGATAGAGATCTTAAGATACATGCAGATCTTAAGATATGTACTTATATTAGTATATAACAATACATACTTATAACTTGAGTAAAATTTGTAGAGAATATTCACAAGTATGCACTGATAATGTATTTTTTAGTTTTTAATCTGTATTGTTAATACTAAAACCTTCTAGGGACCAAATTTTATTTTAAATTATCAAGTAGAGGAAGGAATTTTGGGGGTTATATGTTATTTGATATTATTTAATATATAATATTCTTTTTTTCTAAAAATTAAAATCTTGAACAAAACTCCTGTTTCCCATAATCCTGGCTCCTTATTGCTAGTACCCTGCTTGACTCAGATATCTGGTTGTCCCTCTCTGATCTAAACACTGGCATTTCTTACTACTTCAAACCCTCCATTCCCCACACTCCAATCCTGGGTTCCCATCCCTACCACTTCTCTCTTGAGACTGGACACCATTAAGACATGATCCTCTCAGCTTCAGCTGATCACCCCTCCAGTGGAATAAAATGTCAAGGAATCCCTTTCCTAAGGCCAAAGGAATAACAAACAGAACAAAACTCTTCTTTACCAAAATCAAATATGATTGCAAGATCTGAATTTATGAATTGATGCTTCAGCTGTGTCCAGTCCTCCTCTTACTTGCATACCTATTCATCTGGTCATTTCTTTACCAGGGCCAAGGAGCCCAATCATAGTCACTTCTCCAAGGGCTGGGAACCATCCTTCCTGGGTCTTTGGATGCTGCTGCTCAGCCTGTGATCCCCATGTTAGTAGGCTTTGGAACAGGTTCTATTTATTTCCTCATTCCTGTTCTGAACCTACTGAAGAAACCTCTGATGCATAGATAAGGTCATAAAAACCTCTCTTCTCCATAAGTCCTAAAAAATGCCAACGTTCTGGAAATATGTGCCTATTTTTCCTTGAATCCCTTAAGGCTCAAACAGCTCTCTCTTCAACTGCAAATTCTGTCTGATACCCAAACTTCATTTTGAAATATTCTGTTGCTGTTTCCATAACTTAACAAATCTATAGATACTGACTCAAATAAATATCCTTTATTTACACAATCCATGAATCAAGCCTCTAGAAGATTTCCTAACCCACTGGGTATTCCTGCTTCTATAGATGGAAAGCATTATGGTTTGGTGAGTTGGCCCAGTCCAGAAAAATCAGTGCATATCAGACCAGGAACCTAAGAGCTAGTAGAAAATTCACCACCACTTTGCTCAGAAAAAATTTAAGAAACAATCAACTAAATTCTGATGTTTTACTCAGTATCAATAAATAGAATAACCATATTTCTTTGGATCCCTTACATGTAAGAGACCAAGAATCAACATGGAGATAGAAAATGAACAGGATGGTCAAATCCCAAGAAATAGTCAGTGATAGTCTCAGAGCATGCCTCCATGAGCCTGAACCCCTGGCATGATCTAACATCTAACAGTTATAAAACTCAGCTCAAATATCACTGGACAAGGGGGACCTTTTCCCACAGACAAGCATGCTCAAATGCACAAGGTTGATTGATAAATAATACCTAGAGAATGATACCAACCAAAGTACTTATTCTAAAACAGATCTGAAATGGTTTAAATTGAAAATATCTACCATCTAAATACAGTTCTCTATGTAGACAGACATAGCATTGTTAGAGGGAAGAAATAAAATCCATTAGTGAAATTAAGCAAGAGGAATCCTTACCAGTCTTTGCCATGTTCAAGCTCACAGCTCCGGCCACTTGTCGTGGCATGATGGATGAAGCTTATAATGGAAGAATTATATCCACCAACAGGAATTATATTCATGAGCTTGATGCAAGGGCAACTTTCTTCACTTGGAAAATTGAATTTGCTGAATTAACAGCCACCAGCCTGTTGGAAGGGTAGTGTAGAAGGGCATTACTCATGAGAATAAATATGACATAATAACAACTAATGGCTCTATGAACGGTATAGAGGCAGATTTTCTTTTTTAATTCACCTTTCCCTGCTAATGAAACTGAACACGATATGCATTGTTTCTTGTTAACACCAATGGTATTGAATTTTGGCCATATGTGGAAAGACTAATATGTATAAATAATTTTGAATGAGCTATGGCATCACTTGATAATTACATTTTGAAGACTGAGTTTATACTAACATGGGATAAGCATGACATCAAGAGCAAGAGATACCTTAGGTAAATGTACAACCCAGAAGCTCAGCATTCACATTTCCACACCCAAAATTATTATGAAGCAGAAAAAAAAAAAAATCCCATTGATGCTCTTGAAATCAATAACACAAGTTATATATAAACAGTGCTTACTATACATAAGAGTTTAATAGGTGATAAAGAAAGATCACAAATCAGTGCAGAAGGGAAGTAATATATAATAAATAATGTGATAAATTTGTACTATATCTGCAAATAATAAACAGATTTCAGATGGATAACAGTTACATATAAAAATCAAACTTTGTAATGCATATAGGAAAATATAAAGAATTATATTATGTGCAATGGAACAAAAGTCATGGAAGTCATTCTAAAAGACATGGAAGGTTTTTTTAAAGTAAAATATTGATACATCTATGTAATACTGTTAAAGTTCTATTTGCCCTAAAAATGCAAAATCAAAAATTAAAAAGCAAATGTAAAAGGGGAAAAATACATCAAATCTCACTGACATAGAGTCAATATATCCAGAGAATGCACAGATTAGTAAGAAAAATCCTAACATTTCAGTAAACAAGTTATAAATGACATAAGTAGATAATTCACAAAAGGAGAAATGAAAACAGCTAGCAAATATATTGGAAAGTGTTAAATGCCACTTATGATCAAAAAGTAAAAATTTGAATACTTTTTTTTGGCTTTTTTATTTGGCATTATTTTTTTAAAGGATTCTTCATTTTTCTTTCCCCCTTCCCGGTTTTTTTGGAAAGAAACAGAGGAAATGAGACTTGTTGATCATAAGAAAAAAATATGTAAGGATTCCCTCTGGCAAAAGGAGAAATGCCATAGGGAATTAATTACCTTCTCTCATACTCCAAACAGCACTGATATCAGAAGTCCTGGTTTGTTTCAATGTACAATCCCAGGTCGCCCACCCTCTGAAACGTGTTTTGGACCTTACCTTTCAAATCCATAACTATCAATCTTTGTCCTTGCCATGGTATACCTAGTTTTTAGTCACTAGATGCTCTTTGACCTTAATCCTTGATCTTGTATCTTCCAATCTTTAGGTGGAGTCCCTAACCTCTGCTGTCTGTCTTGAACTTGACTCCCTTTTCTGCTTCCATGATATATGGTCCTTCTGTCTAGTAGAATGCCTAGTCTTGGCCTCCCCCACCCAGTTTGATATGTTTCTATTCAAATGATAGTGTGACATGATTCCACAAAGATAATAAAAGTAGCTAAACGTATTCCATCCTCTCTATAACCCAGGCATCATGTTAAAAGCTTTACATACATTATTCAACTAAGTCCTCATAACCCTTTGAAATATGTAGGTACTATTATTTCTATTTTATGTACAAGGAATATGTTAAATGACTTGCCCAACTTCACACAGCTGCTGATTCCAGCCCAAGCTGATTTGACTCCAGAGTATTTCCCACTGCCTCCTTGGGCACCACGGGCTTTGATTACATAGAACACATCTGAAGGCCATAATTTGACTTACAGAATAAATCTCTATTATAATAAACAATGTAAATATAAAGTCCTACTATATTAATAGCATCTAGCTAGGGAAATTAAATATTTCCTGGGAAATAAGTCAGTACTAAAGTAAACAGAGCCTTATATTATTTTTTAATAAACCATCATTTTCTATGGCTTTTCTAGGAATAGAAATTGACAGATTAAAACAAAACCAAACAAAAAGAAGTCATACCATCTTCTAACACAGAAAGACCACTGGTGGATAGGAGAACACAGTCAAATATAAAACCAGATATTAGCATTCCAGGATATTGAGTGGAGCTTTTCCTATGGCCCCAGAACTGGCACAAGAGTATATAGATGAAATCTACAGGCACTAAGTCTCCATATCTAAAGGAACAGACATGTTCCCTCAGGGCTTATTGGTAGGCAAACCAACCCTATCATTGATAGCCATCAACCCAAGGCATACAGTCCATGAAAGAAGCCCAGGGAAGAAGAGGGAAGGGATCAGAATCCCCAGCCTTACAGAGAGTATAGTGTTTACAGTGGAGAAATCCTCTGTCCCCCATCCTACAAAGCAAAGTTTGCTAGGGGTATGGGGGATGTGCTGCTCCAAGAGAATGCCTTGCAGAGCTGGGAGTGGCTATAAGACAAGGAGACCACTGGCATCTCACTGCCCAGTGAGGCGAACAGAGCAGAGCCTGGTGAGTGTTCTAGGGAAGCCTCGGCCTGAAGATGGGGCATATACTTGGACACAGAGACATGAGCCTACTTTTCATTGTATATTTCTGAAAGAAGCTTATTGGAGAAGCCTTGCAGCAGCACATCATGGAAGGAGTATAGAGCCGTAATCCTGGGAAGAAAGGGGCATGTGGCATTTCCACCCTGGTGTCACGAGTGAAGGTATGGAAGAAAATCTCAGCGGTTTCCATCAGTCCACAGAAAGGACTGCAGAGCAGAGGAGGAATACAGGAACAAAAAGGGCTACCCAGACAGCCAGGACAAATGAGTTGACACCCTACCAGAGAGGGGACTAGAGATATGGACCATGGTACAGTTGCCCCTCTCTAAGGAAGCCCTTCATTGACAGAGGGAGCCAGGTTGACCTGAATAAGAAACCATCATATGGAGATCTTTATTACATCATCAGAGGCCACCAGAAGCAGATAGAACCAGAGTGACCAGAATAAGACCAAGGGCACCTTCCCACAGCTGGCAAGTGGCTGAGTGTGTAAGACTATTGTTGCCTCCTCTATCCAAGCACCCTCCTGCCCCAGTCCTGGATGATCTACATGTACAGAGAGAAGGGAGGAGAAATATCTTAGAAGTAGTCCCTCTCCCTCTCTCTGACCCCTCTAACCCACTTTTAGGGTCCTTTGAACAATGGGTTAAGGGAAGAGTTTTAAATTGGATATGAGATTGGAATTGTAGACTATAATGGATTAAGCTTTAGTCATCAAAAATGATCAGGATGTCAGTGGTTGCTGAGGGTTAGGGAGGAGGGAGGGATGAGCAGGTGGAACACAGAGGGGTTTTAGAACAGTGGAAATATTCCATAGGATACTATATTCTTAGATAAAATGTCATTTTATATTTGTCCAAACCCACAGAATGTACAATACCAACAAACCTTAATGTAAACTAGGGACTTTGGGTGATGATGTGTCAGTGTAGGTTCATCAGTTGTAACAAATGTACCAGTCTGGTGGGGGATGTTGATAATGGGGGAGGCTGTACAAAAAAATAAAGTCTTTTAAAAAAGTGCTTGGCACATGCTTGGCATTCAATTAATATTTTTAAAATGAATCAATGAATGGGTGTCTTTTATGCAAAAATTAATCAAAAACAATAGTTTTATTAGTTTTAATAAAGTACTATAAACATTTTTTAAAAAAGAAATTTTTTTCTTTTCAAACTATTCATCAAACTATTCATTCAAACTATTCTTCAAACTATTGATATACACAACCATAAAAATTGATCTCAAAGTCATTATAGTGAATGAGAGAAGCCAGATTTTAAAAAGAGTAGACGCTGTATGATTCAATTTCTACAAAATTCTAGAAATGCAAACTACAGTGACAGAAAACATATCGGTGGTCTGGGGAAAGGGTTGAAAGGAAGAATGGATTACAAAAGAGCACCAGAAAACTTTTGGGAGGTGATGGAAATGTTCATTATCTTGATTGTAGTGCTGGTTTCATAGCTGTACACCTATTCAAAATTCATCAAGTTGTATCCTCTAAAGATGTGCAGTTTATTGTGTGTTGATTGTACCTCAAAAGTAAAAAATAAATAAATAAATAACTGATCAGAATGTTTTGGTACCTACTTAAGATGCCATTAAAAGAAAGGAAAAGAAGATTCGACAAATTTTAGTAGAAAGAAGTGATGGAGAAAAAAATAATTAAGTCCTTAATATATTCCAACTAAGTTGTCAATAGGTTACATTATAATGCACTATAGTGGGAGAATTCTTTTCAGAACCTTATCAAAAGTAACCCATTTTAGAGGACAATGTGCAAGTACGGTGGAGGTACACTCCAGTTTTCTAATCTTGTTTAAAAAAAAATTACTTAATACAATTTCCTTTCCATGACATCTTATCACTAGAAATCGGGATACCACAAGTTAAAAAATGAAATTAAACCAAAGAAATAAGTCACATTTATGCATGACAGATAAACCTAAGTTGGGACCTACAGCCCCCTTCCTTGTGAGTCATCTTAATACTGCAGAAAGCTCTGACCCGGTGTTTCCAGGAGAACCAGCCATACCGCTCTGCTGTGCAGATGAGTCATGAGAAACCTGGCCAACCATGCTTGACAGCCTCAAACTACCTCCCATGGAGCTGGCCATTTTCTTTCTGCTCATCCTTATCCTTTTTTGTTGTTGTTGTTTTTCATATTCCTTTCCAGAATTCATCCTTATTTGAATTAGAAATTAGTATGACAAGAATATCCTACCTGCTACCCAAAGAAAGGGACAATAAGACTTTCAAAAATCACTTTAACTACAAAGTGATTCAACTATGTTTCCTACTTATAAAAGTAAAATGGATTTTTTTTTCCTCCACTAGAAAACGGTCCAGATTCTCAACAGTCCCCAGTCTCAGTTTGATACCATAATTGCCATAAATAAATTTCTTACGCACTAAAACCAGTTTTGCCCTTTTCCCAGGAGGCTTTTGTAAAGCTCAACATAAATTCAGCTATCTCATATGATGCAATTGTGATTTAGGAAAAGCAAAGACCATCATCAATACACAGTTTCATCCTCCCACACCAACAGCCCAATCTAACTGCCGCCAAGTCCCCAAACCCTGAAACTCCCACCCACAAGCTGCCAAACCCTCTGGTGGCCCTATCACTGGCAGATGCTACGATGCTCTGTCAGTAAAAGGTTTGTGAGAAACTGAAAAGTGTACAAAATCAAACAGAATGCAAAGACATTTTTACTGAATTTAGTATTTTGAGATTCTAGAATACTTAATGCTTAAGAATTCAGAGATTTGGGGATCCATAGCCCTGTGTTTCTCTGTTTGGCCAACTACAAAATAGTTACTACCTGTTCACCCCAAAAGGAATCAGAAATGGCAGTTTGTGAAGACTTTGAACTTGCCCCGTGGAAAGCATCATATACATAGAACTCTGTAAATATAAAATATCTCAATCACTGGGAAGCTTGTGTCTCCCATGGTCATTACTCCCACATTTAAGCAATATGATGAATGCTCACAAGTGGAGCAAAGTCATTCTGTTAAGGGGGAAACCATATTCCATCGTCATCACATGCACCAGGTTGATCTGTGCCTAAGATGTTGACTTAGTGACATAGGGAGCTGAAATGCCATAACCACAGCTAAAGAACTTATTAAGGTCCTTCACCAAGTCTCGTAATTTTTATTTCCATCTGGAAAGCTACCCCTCACTTTACATATGGGAAAACGGAGGGCGAGGAACTTTAAAGAGTTGCCCATGTCAAACAACTCAGATAGCAAAATGACTAAAATCCAGACCTCTTCATTCCTAGCCCTGTGCTCTCTCCACCTCCTTTCACTGTCCCCCAGCCTAATACAAACCCACTGTTTCCACCTACCCAAGTCTCACCTCTATGCTACTATCCATATACCCCAAATCACCAAAAATGCTTCTCTGACTGCTCGAACTGAGTGCACCTCTCTTATCCTGATTCTTAAGGCAATCCCTCTTGGTACAGCACTGCCTTCTCCCTAAGCCTTGCCCCTTGAACCTCAGGCTTCTTATCCTTCCCAGCCACTATCCCCTGCCTCAGAGTTTACTGCACTCAGCCCCAGGACATCTTCTCTGATTCCTGAACCTCATGCCTACCCCGACCAATTCGTACCCTGAAACCTTATATACTGTAGTATTATAGTAGTTTTCTATTGCATCAGTCTTATATCAGTATTCTGTTATAACAAATAATTATAACAAATAAGTATTCTGCTATAACAAATAATTACAAATCCAGTAGCTCAAAACAACATAAATACATTATTTTATAGTTCTATGGATCAGAAACCTGACATGGGTCTAAAATGAAAAGTGTCAGTAGTGCTGCATTCCATTCTGGAAGCTTTGGAGAGATTCATTGATTTGACTTTTCTAGTGTCTACAGACCACCCACATTCTTTAACATAAGACCCCTTTCTCCATCTTCAAAGCCAGCAGGACAAGCTCCTCTCCAACCCTCATCACATCTCTTTGATTCTCCTCTTCTGCCTCCTCTTCTACTTTTAAAGCCCCTTGTGATTACATTGGGCCCAATAACTCAAATAAGAAGAATAAAATAAGAAGAATACTCTTCTTATTCTAAGGTCAACTGATTGGCAGCCTTAATTCCCCCTTGCCATGTAAGCTAATATAGTCACAGGTTCTAGGGAAGAGGACGTGGACATTTTGGGGAGGGTGTTATTCTGGCTATCACAAACATTATCTCTCAATCTTCCCTCTTCCCTTCAGCACTCTCCCCTTGTCTCTCTCTCTCTCTCTCTCTCTCTCTCTCTCTCTCCTCTCTCTCTCTCTTTCTCTCTCTCTCTCTCTCTCTCACACACACACACACACACACACAATAGAGAAGAATGGACTCTGGATTGACTGAATCCCCAAATGACCACTGGGGCCCATCTTGTCCCACCCACTCTCCTCAGAGGTCTGAGAGGGCCACTGGCCAGGCTCTTCCATGTCCCTCTATCTACATGATCTTCCCAGAGCCAGAGACGGCTGAGGAGCCTAAAGTAGAGAAGAGAAAGGTGGCACACAGCGTGGAATCCAAGAACCCAGAATGACCAGCATACACAGGGCTACTGCTAAGGCTGGCTTTGGTACTGATCAAACACAACATAAACACACAGGCCACTGAATGTGTTGTCTGTTGAGCTTCAATAGGAAATTCCTTGGGAACAAACTTTAGAGTGAAAGTTATGAAAATCCATTGCATTGTCAGGTAATCTACATTTTATTTTAGGGGAAAAAGTCCCAACTCTGACAGTTGTGGAAGATGTTATAGAATCAGCCCTAAAGATTAACCACCTTGAAAGACTTACTTTTTTCCTTTTTCCTTTGACGCAATTAAAGATTCACAGGAAGTTGCAAAGATAGAGCAGGGAGGTCCCTCACAGCCTTCACACAGTTCACCAATGGTTGCATCCTACATAACTAAAGTACAATATCAAAATTAGGAAATTGACATTTGCACAACATGTTTGATATAGCTGTATGCCATAAGACTTATCTAAAAATATAACTAGACAAATGTATATATCTATATCCACCACTTAAGTGGAATCCTACAAAGATGGTAGCAGCACTTCACGCAACTTGTGGACTCACCTTCTACCAACAGGTCTGCATTGGGTGGCTTTTAAGGATCTGCACAATCCTAAGGTCAAGTACACAGTAAAGCAGAGATCACTTGACAAGAACCTACACCAGCAATGTGAAACCACCACAGACTTCCCTCCCCCGCCAGGAGCTCTCAGTCCTCATGGTGCACCTGCTGAAATGAGGAAATGCTCTTTAAACATTTTCATATGGTTTTTCTCAATGTATGGGAACTGTCCTCAAACATCATAGAGGCCAGCCATCTCAGAGAGGACAGATAGGAGAGCCAACTGAAGTACCATCGCAGGGCTTCATTTCTCTCCATCCTAGGCAAGAACTGAAAAAATATCCTCTGAATCAGCCCCACAAAGTATATGAAGTATCACAGAATGCTAGACCTACAATGACCCTTGGAGACTTTCTAGTTTAGCCCAATCCTTTTATTTACAGATGAGGAAACTGAAACCTAGGGAGTAGAGGAAGGACTGCCTGCTCACACAGCTAGCTAGTGGCTGTTCCAGGATTAAAATCTGAGTCTTCTAACTCTCAAACTGGCATGTTTTCCAGTGCCTACATTATCTACCTCCAAATGTATGCTCCTGAAATTTTAACATGATTTTTGTTGATATTTCAGAAACATACATTTGAAAGTAGGTGAGAGAAAGGGAATAACACAATCAGACGCACAAATCAGATGTCATATGGAATCAACCTGAGTGGGGCAGAAATCGATGGGAGACTCTTGGAATATACCAAAGAATATATATCATGGTGGCTTCAACTCAAATGATGGTGATAAAATTGGAAAGATGCAAAAGGATTCAAGATATATTTTGGAAGTAGAATCAGAATCAGCTGACCTGTCAACTGGGCCATCAATTACAAATTTCTGGATCATCCAGAGGGAACTAAGCACCCAGACTATGACCATGAAACCGACCAAGGGTGAGTAACCTGTGTGTAAGTTATATCTGAAAATTCACCCTCATTTTCATTGTCATTATTAGGACCCACCAACAGCTACTTAGTTCAGACTTTCCCACTTATCTTGGCAAGCAACACGTACTTCTTTCACACATTTATAGACCCAGCTGCCCCTATTCAGTTAGACAGCTTCCTGCCTAAAAAACTGACACACAAACTGTGTCCCAGGATTAGGCTCAACTGTGCACTTGGGGTTACAGTACTGACTGTCTCTGTCTGTATCAGCTCTAACTCATCTGTCTGCAATATCTACCTGCAGCCCAGGTATAGTGGCACGTGAAGAGCTTCTTACCCCATGTGCTCAGAAAAGTGAAGTAGCAGAAGCCATGCTGCTGGTGTGAACATCCGATGAAACTTGAATCATCTAAGCATTCAGCATAGGACTGGTTCATGGATCCATCCCTGCTGCCCACAATCCCCTAACTCCCTGAAGGAGCTGGGGGATCAGTCCTGAAAACCAACCAGTCAGCCAGGGAGACGGGACATCTTGTCTAATGTCTCCTACACTGCTCCCAGGCTGGCCACCCGGACACACACCCACCCTCAAGAACAACTGCTAACCTGACATCCTGTTGCTGCTCTTTACATGCTTGGATGCTGGACCAGATAAGACTTGGTTTTGCCCAGTTCCCCAAGGCTAAGTTTTGGTCTTCCCATAGGGAAAAGTCAGCCTTGTTTGTTTACTTTATAATGGTAGAGGAAAAAGAGAATGGGTAGCTCTCAAGGACTACTAATTGAAATATAAATTCACGCAGCCACTCCAAAGAGAATTTTGGCAAAATCCCGAAAAGTTAACAGATGCAAGTATTCTATGATCCTGCTCCTAGGTATATGCCCCAGAGTAATGAATGAGATGTCCACCCAATAAATAAATAAATAAATAAATAAATACAAGAGTGTTCATAGTCAACATAGTCAATGTTCTTAATAGCAGAACATTGTAAATAACCCAAATGTTCAAAAAATAATGGATAAACAAACTGTGGAATAGTTATAAAATGAAATATTATCTGGAAATTTTTCAAAACTTACTAATATACACAATGATGTGAATGGCTCTCAGAAATATTCTGTTGAGCATAAAAACATAAGACCCAAAAGACTATACGATTCCATTTAAGAACAGGCAAAAGCTAATCTAAACTAGGTCAAAATAGTGGTTACATAGTGGGATATGCAGAGTGGGGCTACTGATGGGACATGAGGAAACTTTCTGGTGTGATAACAATATTCTATATTTTGATCTGGATGGTGGTCACATGGTCTTACATACATGCGAAAAGTCATCAAATTGTACACTTACAATTTGTGTATTTTACTGTATATATAATCTAAATTATACCTCAAAATGTATATGAATAAAATAATATCAATATGTTCAACATAAAATGTTTTAAATAGAGATAAGCAAACAAAGTAAATAAAATCATTCTCTTCCTACCACTCAGATATAACTACTGTTTGCTTTTGGTAGTCATGTATTTTTTTTTTTAAATGTATAAATCATAGTGCTTTTTAAGTCAGTTTTGTATTGAACATATTTATCATTTACTTGTTTTTATAAGAAATGATCTTTAAACTTTCTAGCACCAGAAAACTTTCCTGGAACAAAATTTTATGTGAGGCCCCAACATACCAATACTGTTCTGGTTAAAGCACATTTAGGAAACCATGCCTTCCTGCTCATCCTGGTCTCTGTCCTCCTCTGGCAGCCTCGGAGCCACCTTCATGGTACCCAAGCAGTCAGGAAATCACTGTATTGGTTTCATTTTTAATGACTTCGTTCTAGGTCATGAACAACCCACAATTTATTTAACTGACAGCACCAACATCAACACCTGAGTATTCACAGCCTCTTCTTTTTTCCACCTACAAAGAAAGCCCTGCAGTTGTTTGATGAGAAGTGACCCCACTCACCCAGCCCATTCCAAATTTGCCTCAAGAAAGATTATTTTGTCCAATCCAGTAATAAGGGTTATTTAAAGTAGACCAGGGTGAGGAGCCAGTAAAATTTGAGGGGTCTTATCCTGGAAAAGGAGAGAATTACCAGCTGGAAAGCAGATCCAGGAAGCAGAAAGTTGATGAGGGAGAAGATAAATCTGGGCCCAAGAAAGAATTTGAAGGAAATTTTGGACAAAGAGGTAATGAAGAGAATTGGAAGCAGCTGCAGAGAATGGGAATGATATTGGGAGTTAGAAGAATTTGACATTGTGAAGAGTAGTTGGAGAAGGAAAGCTCCAAAATGCTTTTCCTCTTTTTTTCATCTAAAATCAGTTCTTCTTTACTGATTTATGAAGAAGTACATTTTGCATCATTGCTTGAATCTACTAGTATTCCCATGCCTTAATTATTTTTATTTTGTTTTTAATTGACAAATTGTGTATATTTATAGGCTATAAATATATATTTTGATCTAAGTTTACATTGTGGAAGGATTAAATCAAACTAATTAATAAATCCATCACCTTACATACTTAACATTTTTTGTGGTGAAAACATTTAAAATCTACTCTTTTAGCAATATTGAAATATATAAGGTACTCTTACTTATCACAGTCACCATTTTGTGTAACAGGTCACTAAAGCTTATTCCTCCTAACTAAAATTTTGTACCCTTCGATCAACATCTCCCCTTACCCCATACATCTCCCTCTCCCAGGCCCCTGGTAACCAACTTTCTACTTTCCTATGAGTTCGCCTTTTTTAGATTCTACATATAAATAAGATCATACAGTATTTGTTTCTCTGTGCCCAGATTATTTCACTTAGCATGATGTCTTCCAGGTTCATCCATGTTATCACAAATGACAGAATTTTATTCTTTTTTGAAGCTGAACAGTCTTCCATTGCATATACATACAGTACCATATTTTCATTACCCATTTGTCTGGATGACGGACACCAAGGTTGCTTCCATATCTTAGCTATTGTTAATAATGTTGCAACAAACACTGGAGTGCAAGTATCCCTTCAGCACACTGATTTCAATTCCTTTGGATATATACCCAGAAGTGGAATTGCTGGATCATATGGTATCTCTATTTTTAGTTTTTGAGGAACCTCCATACTGTTTTCCATAATGGTTGTATTAATCTACATTTCTACCAACAGTACATAGGGTTCCCTTTTCTCCACATCCTCACCAACACTTATCTTTCATCTTTTTGATAATGGCCATTCTAACAAGTGTGAAGTTATATTTCATTGTGGTTTTAATTTGCGTTTCTCTGATAATTAGTGGTGATGTGCATTTTTCCAAGTATCTGTTGGCCATGAAATGCTTCTTCTAAGATAACTAGTGCTCACCCAATGCAATTTTTATAATACAGCATTTTTCCTAATTTAAAATGAACTTATAACCTTATTATATGCTAATATGTTATATGCACTTGTGACTATTTCTAGACTATTAATTCTATTCCTGTGATCTGCCTATCTATTTCCAAACCAGTTCTAGGCAGAACAAATTATTGCAGCTTTAAAATGTTTTAATAATTTACAGAGTAGGTCTCCTTTCATACTTTTTAAAATATTAGGTTTTTGAATGCTTGTGATTCCATCCAAATTTTAGAATCATGTTGCCAAATTCCCAAAATCTGTCATTGGGATTTTGGTTAGAACTTAATTTGTAATTTGGAGGGAATTCATACTCTTATAATTTTGAATCTTTTTATCCAGAAATATGGTCTGTCTCTCTACTTATTCAAGTGACTTATACCTCAGAAATTTTTGTTGCTTCCTTCATATAGTTCAGCACATTTCTTGCTAAATTATTCCCAGGTTTTTGTATTTTTATGACTGTGAAAAAGATTTTTTCTATTATATTTTCTAGCTGGTTTGTGTTGGTTTCT